AACAAGTCCGGCGTATGATGCAAGAAGCTCTGCAGCTGTAGAGGCCCACTCGCAAGACCCGTCTGGCTTGAAGAAAGACGGCAGCTCGGCAGGATGAACTTCAAGCGAGAACCATTTGGCCGACCGAGGGTCACTGCCAGACTCGAGTGACCACCCGCCTAAGACAATGCGACCTGATTCACATTTCGCGTCAGTGCGGAAGGCTTGACGGTACTGGCCGGGCCAGGACATGTGGACAGAGTCCAACCGCGCTCCCGCCTCAAACTGGCTCCGAAAGAACCTCAAGACAAGAACAACCATGTCTGGTGCCGTCGCGACGGTCCCTCTGCTGAGCACTGAGCTCCAAGCGTAAAGTGGTGCGAGGAAGGGCTTAAGCCAAGTGATCATCCGAGTGACGAAGTTGAGCCGTCCCACGAACTCCACAAGCTGCCTCCCAGAAGTCATCCAGTTGTTGGATTCCACCTGATCGACCCACTCGATGATCCAGCCCGCACGCTTTGCGGAGATCCCAGCTGACCACGTGTAGTAGCTAATGTGGTATCCAATGTAGTCAACTTCAACACCACCTTTAACCTTGTGAAAGGAGAAAGGCGTCCCTACAACCTCCAAAGCAAGAAACAAAACCCAAAGCGTCTCGTACTTCTCGCTTCCATACACGATGACATGGAGGTCATCAACGTATATGAGCATGTAGAATTTGTCAAGATGCAAAATGCGAAATGCCCACCTGCCGACTGCTCCGAAAAGGCGTGCCCAATGATAAGCCGCAGAACTAATTCCGAAAGTCCCTACGCAATTTAACCATAAGACCCTTGATGAGCTGGAAGATTTGCATGACATGCGAGGCCAGTCACAACGACGTACTTTGGCTCGCCTGTGTGCCTGGCTGATGTCCGCGCAAAGCGAGAAAGGGGCCTCCTTCCCTTCCTTCACCCGCGCTGCCACTTCCTGCAAATCCTCGGGCCCTGGTACTTGAAGCTTATCATTAATGACAATCTTGTTGTTAAGGTTGATTCCGTGAGTTCCGTCGTGAAGCGGCCTCACGTCCCCGTTCGCCTTCGTCACCGCTCCCATAGCGGCAATCAAAACTGCATCTTCACCAAACTCCCTTTTGGCCTCTGCCTCAGTTGTGCAGATCATGAGGCCAGCAAGCTCGTCTTCCCGGAATTTCTTTTCAAGCTGTTCAGAGTTAAGCTCGGCAGATTTGTAGTTAACCATAGAAGGATCAAACTCGGAAGCGTCCAACTTACGGAAGACGGTGCGCCTGGGAAACACCTGAGGAACACGGGGGAGGGGCTTATCCCATCCTAATGGAACTCCCTCGGCAAATGACTCGGGTCCCTGATCTAAGATTGCGAAGTCCGAGTCGCCGAGGATCTCAAGTGATTGAGAGAGGAGGTGGAGCGAGAAAGGCTGCCCCTTCGGAACCTGCATTGCCAGCTCACTGTCTGGAAGAAGCTTTGAAATGTCCGTGCGCACCTGGTTCACGAGCGACTGCTGAAACGGTGAATTGGGCAAACGGCCCGTCGCAAGAAGGAACGATGCTTTTCGCAAATCGGGGATACTAGAACGAACAGCTGCAGCAAGGATGTCCCGTACCGAAGCAGCATGGTTCCATTCGGCTGAGCTCGATAAGGCGTTGCGTGCGATGGGTCTCCACCTTCCTGGCGAGCACAGACCGAACCCGTCAATGAGTTCCCTCCATGAAGCTGAATGCCTACACTGGAGGGCGGGGCCGCGACATCTGCGGGTAGCCGGATCAAATGCAGAACTGTCATGATCCTCCTCCTCCTCCTCGTCTTGTTGGTTGTCGTTACCAGGTGCCTGTTGGATGGTCCCTCCAACAGGGGTGCTAGAGGAGGCCTCAGGAGTGGTCCCTTCCTGAGGGGTGCTACAAAGAACGGGGCCCCCAGCAACGGCTGTTGTTGGGGGGGTGCTAACAGTGGGATCCTCCTGGGTTAAATCCACAATGCCGCCGTCGGTGATCTCTTCCCCCCGCTGCGACAGCAAGAGCGCTGATGGCGGCAGAATGAAACCAAGCTCGCATAAGGTACTGCGGCGGCTTGCAGATAAGCTGGATGTATGCACGGAGAATCCAACCAAGAGCAACCTGTCACCTTGCCAAGGTTCCGTGCAATGGAAGGCGGTGTGGGCAGGCAATCTTTGTGGAGAAGTTGCAACATCAAGCAAAACGCCAGGTCGAGAGACACCCTTGACCAACCTAAGGACATCTCCGGACGACCGTTCGCACCAAACCGCGCCGCCTGTAAACTTCGAAAGTGCAACAAGCAGATTGTCGAAAGGTGCGTTATGGCAGTCTTTATGCATTGGCGCACAATGGTTGTGGAAAACAGCTAGTGAAGAAAAGACCTCACCGGGGAATGCCTGGCGAATGAGGGCCGTAAGACATCGAAGAGTCAAAGGGTAATCACTGCAACTGCGACGGAGGCCCGTGAGGCCGCCCTTGCAATATGCTCCGCCAAAGAAAGCACGCCCTGGCGTTTCACTAGAAATCTGAGGAGTGGACGCTGCGGGGTGAGGTGCCTCAAATGGGACAAGGCGAGCAAGTGCTTCGCCATCGTGGGGTTCAAGCTGCCGTCCCTGCTTCAACAAGCAATCTGCGAAATGTTCTGCACCCTGAAAAGAAGAATCAGTGGCCCGAAAGTTGCGAAGGAAGCCCTCAGAGAGAGCAGCCACATGTTCCAGAAATGCATGCGGGAATGCCACCGATGTGGCCCACTTGTGTTGTTCTCGACCTGCACCAGCCTTATGTTGATGTGAGCACCGAGTCAGGGGCCCGACATAAAAGCCTTGATCATCAAAAGATGGCCAAGCGATGCTAGCTGGTGCACCTGACATGTTGGTTGCAATGCGTGTTGGATGTGCATTGTCTGAACCATATGAGCACAAGTGCACTGCCCAAGTGGAGCAGGTAGCTGACGCATCACAGCAAGCTCTGACCTCAGCCCACTGCCATAAACTCGCGGGGTCGCCGCCGCAACGAAGCTTCCCTAGGTCCTCTGGGTGGATCAGAATCCATCCTGTGTTATGTTGATTGCACAACGTTGCTGCGCTGATGCACTGTTTGCAAATGTAGTTCTCAAGGTCAACGTCAAGGCGGAACCTATCAGCTAACCAAGGAAACCCAAAAGGAAAAGAAGACGACCGCACAGGGACCGGCCCTGAGCGCTGTGAATTCAGCCGATGCCTTGCACGACTGAAGGTACTGCATGGTGGAAACATGAAAATGGCATCCCAGGATCCCAAGCGAATCCCAGTGAAGACGTCATCCCAGGAAGCGGCCTTAGACCAAGTCCCGAAATGAGATCCGTCCTGAGTCAAGAAGTCGGCCTCCAGCTGGCTTCCCAAGCGCATTGATAAATTCTGTAGGCAGCCGTGTAAGTCACTGTCGATGCCCATGTCAAGTGAAACAACCAAGACCTTTAGTCAGTTTTTCTGCTCGTCGGTCTTCTTACCGGAAGCGTGATGCTGCTGCCAGTGCTGCCAAGTGGGATGGGGCCCATGACATCCCTTGACCATGCAGCAATGTACCATGCCGCAATTGCCATCACACCCTGGTCCAGAGTAATCGAAGCAAATCCACCGGCCGTCCGGTGTCCGAGTCGTTGTTGAGCTCTCTCGCTTTCCTTTTCCGTCCTTGCCTTTCTTTCCATTTTCCTTGCCCTTCTTCCCTTTGTTGTTCTTGTCCCCGGTCTTCCCGAAGTTTTGATTCTTCCCCTGCCATGTGTCCTTGAACCACTTGGATTCGCTTCCAGTCTCCCAAGGATCACCTGCGCGCTTTCCTCTGCTCTGCAACGCAATGGGCGATGTGAAGAACTGCTCCTTAAGCTGCGAGTCCTCTGTGACCTCTTTCAAGCAATCGCGGAGGGGCCTGGAATCACGAAATGCACGTTTCACCGCCTCCTTCCTGAGTTCGTACTCATAGTTGAGAAGGACCACCCAAGGTGGTCGCAAAGGTGTTTGATCCATCTTTCCATTCCCCTTTCCATTGTTCACTGGGACTTGCATAAGATAGACCTTCTCGCCGAGGAGGTAGTTGACAAAGCTCGACCAAGCATCTGGCCCCATGTTCTGAAAGAAGACCTTGTTCTTGTACTTTGATGCCAAGAATGTCCACATGTTCCCCTCCACTCGGAGGACCGTCCTCAACTCTTCAGTGTGTGTTGGCATGACCCCTTTGTTCCGTTGCTTTACGATACGAACATGCCCACCTGAGTCCACTGTTGTCTGGATCCCCATGGTGCGAACACGCTTCTTCGAAGTCACCTCCGAAAGAGCGCTGGCGGTGAGTTCCCCATTCTCGACCTCTTCAAGCTTCGCTGAAATGTAATCATCTGAGGGCTCGAAGGCTTCTTCCAGCTGTCCATGGGCAGCCTCGAACGCCAATCTCATCGCCTGCTTTTCGGTTTGTGTCACTGGACGACTCACGCCAAGCATCCGAGCTTCCGCACGGAGTTCTGACTCCTTCGAAGCGAACTCCTTCGCCGTCTCCCAGGCCGATACCACCGCTGCGATGGTGGCGCGAGTGCCTTGGTTGGTGGCCTCCAATGTATGATCATCCTTCAAGGCAGTGCGAACTTCAGCGCGGGAATCAGCGTAAGTCGAGAACCTCTTCACTGACCTGAAATTCTGTGCTAGCTTGTATTGCAAGCCGAGAGGTACCCCACACTCTTGAAAAATGTGCACGAGGTCGGCAGTCACCTCCTTGTCTAGAAAATCCAGCGCAACTTGCTCCGTGACCCCTGCCGGTAAATCTGCAGCCATTGCAGCCCGTCCTACTAGAAGCGAAGAGAGCTCCCCTTAGAGCCAGCGCCTCCTGGCCATGCCCGAAACGTAGCACATCACACAAGAACACGGTTGCACTCCAGCCGGCACTAAGCAGGGCAATTCGGATCAAGCTCACAGGCACATTCCTTCCGTGCCGCTGTCACAGGTTGTCTATTAAGAACGATGCCCTCCTCCTGGCAAAGTTCGAAATTTCACGATGCGTTCCATCCAGCATCGATCCACCTAGGGTGTACGTACTCTGATGCTCTCCTTCCGGCATCACACCTTTCTCATGTGCCACTCAAAGATCTCAGACAAGGGGGATCTTTTGCGCACTTCAAGCTCAGCAGCTGTTTGATGTCAGAGCTCCTATCCAAGGCCCGTGGGCGCCTCCGGCCCTCCCTCCGAGGCCGTATCATCAGACCCACTGCTAGAGGACGCCTCTGCAAGACTCTCTCTAGGCTTGCAAATTTTGCACATGGCATCGGCTATCCCTTCAGCCAACGCATAAACGGGGATCGTCTCCAAGCAGCGTTCACGCCGAACTGCACACGACTTGGAGACATGAAGCCTGCGGTATCCCCTCCTCGAAACAGTGATAAAGTACGGGGCTTCATCCTGGTCATCTCCTTCTTCGAAGTCCCGGTAAGGTCCGGGCGGTGATGCATTGATGTTCCCGGCTGAAGCACTCACGAGCTCAGGCCCCACACTGAAGCAGGGAAAAACACCTCCTAGCTTCCATGTCCGCCCAGCATCATCCCATTGGAGCATGGTGCTCGCTCCAATCACTGCATCTGCATCTAAACCCAAGCTCACAGCAAAGGCCCTGACAGCAACGAAGTGCTCCTCTTCCATGTATCCACCTGAATCGCTGCCGATGATCAAGCCTTTGCAAACATGATTCTGTACTCCTTGCACCACCTGCCGGGAAGTCAGCACATAATCCTGAGATCCGTGCTGGGCGTAAGCCCACCGTCCAAGGAAATCCCTTTTGAACTTGTCAATCCCTAGCGCAGCTGCAATGCTTGGAAGTGTGTGCCTCGCACTATGTCCTGTCCAGAAGTTGCACAAACCCCCAGGCAGCAACGGCACACGCGAGACCTTCCAAACTCCTCCTTGCCGAACTGGTGTAGGAAGTTCTTGAAGAAGTCGCCTGAGCTGCAAAGACAAGCCCTCTGCATCCAAGTAATCCTTAGCCTTAGAGACGTTCTCCCAGTCACTCGAAAACGCCGGGCAGAGGAAATCACGTGTCCAAGAAAGCTCTGCATGTGTGTGTAGTTTGAAGCCTTCGTTGAGCCAGTCAAATCCACTCAATCCTACCACCCGGGAGACAAATCCATGTAGCTCGCCAACCTTTCGCCCTGGCCCACTTGTCTTAGTGCGCCGCAGCAATAGCCGAAGGCCGATCTGGCTCAGCTTGACCGACGCCGGGTCGATGTTCTGCGTATCATCTGCCCTCAAGCTTGCCCAAATCATGACAAGGAGCACAAACGCAGTGTACCTCATCCCCATTGGGTATGTAGGCCTGCAGACTACCATCTCACAAGCAATGATCACTGAGATGCTGTAAAGCGGTGCCACTTTGACCGGTGCAGCCCCACTCTCCAACTCGCAAGTCCAAGACTTGACACTCTCAAGAACAATCTGATCCTCGCTCAGTCTCTTCTCATTTGGCACCATACCCAGGCACTCGAGCAAGGAAAGACTTGACAGCAAAGACTTCGGCACAGTCTTCCCCAAGGGGGATGCAGCATGGCGCTCCTCCAAATACTTCAAGAATTGCCCAGAGTCAACAGGCCAAAGTAGCCCGTAAGAAGTGTGAAGCCAATCCCGGAAAGGTTTCCACGACCTTGCCCTGTTCCGCAGAGTTTTCCCCCTACGACTCCCGAAGATCCGCAGCCAAGCTTGCTTACTGTCTCCAAGACTTGCTAATCGCTCCGCGCAAGGGAGCTTTGCCTCCTGAATAAAAGAAACCAGAACAAAGGACCATCGCTCCCGAATCCTCGCCTCAATGTCTTCCCGACTGCCAGCGGCCTTGCTATTCCGCACGGCCCGCTGGAGCTGCGAAAGTACCACAGCTGGTGTGTGACAGACAATGTCTTCAAAATGCTCTGAAATAGGCCTCCCAACACGAGGGATCTTTGCAGGTAACTCCAGAATTCGCCTCTGCAGTACTTCAACTGAAGAAGGGGTGCGTTTGTCTCTCCTCTGCTTCAACCTCCAGACGTCGTTAGCAATCCTTTGAATCTCAGCAGGTGTCCGCTTACTACCAAGGAACTCCTCAACAAAACTGTGAGCTCCGGCCTCATCATCGAATGCAGCGTCCCACTGCTGAGGGGAATTGTAAAGCTGACAAACTTCACTCGCAAAATCAGCATCCACAGCTCGCAGTCTCTCAGCAAGGCCTCCTGCTTCCATTGGCCCAGCTACGGCAAAATGCCATGGGACTACCCGAGCCGTAGGTCTACACTCCCCGTCCCACCAAAAATTTTCTCGCGCCAGAATGGCCGCGACGGCACAAGGAGTTTCAGCAATCTCCAAAAGGAATGTCGCATCAACCGAGACAATGCAAGTGCAGTTCAAGAGAACCAAGCATGTGAACTTTCAAGAGAAAACCAAGTGCACGGCGTTTTTCCCCCAGCCACCCGCCCAGGTTCAAGCAGAGGGACAAACGAGTTGGGGGAACCCAAAATGCAAGTGCTGGCCAATTGTCGACAAACAATATCACTCGGCTGCCGTCCAAGTGTTTGCGCCAATGCCGAAGAGCCAGAATGGCGCCGTAAAGCTCCACAAGACCTATGACATGTTTCTTGCCATCGGATCTCCAATGAGACAGTACGTTTGCCGGCACCTCGCATCCGAAAGCGTGAACGTTGGGCTCATTCGGTTTAAACATGACCGCCCCCACAGTAGCCGGTCCGTGATCAAGGTTATCATCCTCCAGTGCTCCGTCTGTGAACAGCAGAATCGGCTTTTCTTTCCACCCAGCACGGATGACACGAGGCTTTCCATGCGTCAATCTTTGCTGAAGAATCTTAAGCGCTTCGATCCCGCTGGCATCAAGGGAGACCGGAATCCTGGAAGTAAACCCTAAAGACCTAAGGTCGTGCATGGCCATGCGCCCTGCTCGGCCCCATATTTGGCCGTCGGCGAACTGGAGCTTGCCAATGAAGGACGGCAGTCGGCAAGGGACTAAGGCCTTGTCCCTGAGCACTTCCTCGATCACTGCATTAAGCTCCTCACACCGCGACGGCTTGTTCCTGATGTTGATTAGGCCCTCCGAGCTCTGGGACACATCCAGAGTAACTCCCAAGACTTCGACACCCGAAGAGAAGGGGGTGCATTTCTCCTCTGCAAAGTCAAACCCCGCTAGCTTAAGGAAACCCTTAACTAAAGCCGAAGTTGACGTGGCCACCAGCGAGTGAGTCGCCATAGGGAAGTCGTCGAAGTATGCTGACCAGCACGCTCCCAAGTGGCACCCTAGGGCATGCAACAGCAAACTGACCCGCAGAAAGTGGTACACCGAGGCCAACGCTCCGAATGGAAGCGTGCGCATGACAAAGCACGAGATGGATCCTGTCTTGGGATCCTTCAAGGTCACCACACTTTTGTCGAAGTCGCAAGGGTTCAACGGTAGTTGTTTGTATGCTGATTTCAAGTCCAAGGTGGCGACTTGCATGCTCGCCCAATTCTGCCAATCAGGATGGACGAGACCTGTCAGTCTCTCTCCGGAGGATAAGGTAAAGTCGACTGCTCCTCGCTTCCGGTAGAAGTGGCACAACACGGAAAGAGACCATAAAAGATGGTCCATCGCCTGAAGCACGATTCGCTCGCTCGTAGAGCAGGCTTGGTTTACAAGATTCTCCTTGAAGTCGTCAATCGGTCTCAAGCGTCCTTTTTGCACAACACAGAAGCGGCGCACCGGGATCCACGCCTCGAATCTCTTTCCAATGTCTCCTGGGGTCATCGGCCCGTCCAACCACTTTTTCTGGGTAGCCTCCTGAAGAGTTACATCGTACAGCTCCTCGGCGTTCTCGTCAAGAGGATCGGCTGACACACGTGCCAGGAGAGAAGCTCTGATGCTGTCTGCATTTTCCATCAACTCGGATTCGCTGATGGAGGCGAGGTACCCTCCTTCCCTGAACACACCGGAAGGGCTCAGGCACCCAACCAAGCGAAAGCCTTGGCGCATCTCAGAGAAGAGACCCTTGTCGGGCCAGTCTATTTCGGCCGCCATCTCCTCCAGTAGCGCCGTCCGCTTGTTGGCGAGGATCTCCTTCACGGACGGTTGCATCTTGGCACGGTGAGCGTGCTCGACTGGCGCCAGCTCAGTCGCTCTGGCCCTCCACTTTTGCAGACGAAGAAGTCTCAACTTGCAGATCTCTGCAGGGGATTTTGTCAGCTGCTCAAACAGGGATTTGATCAAGTAGTCCGGCAACTGCGCAAGAGAGTCAAAAGGATGATATAGCAGCTTGGCCTCTCTGACGAAAGACTCTGGGCTCCTAAAGACCCCGAAAACACAGAAGAGACCCTTATTCCCCCTATTTTCGGAACGCAAGAGCTTGCTCCCTGCGGGGACACCGTGCACATCCTGCGTAAGACATCGCTTGTGATTAAGAGGCGGGGCCCGGGGCAGGAGGCGGGATAGAACTGCAGCGTGCTCTGACAAGAGCTGTGGGTGTAGGCGTCCTCGCGGCTGCTTATGGGCTCGAGCCAAAAGTGGCTGAGCCGAGCCCAACACGTAGTTGAGCCTGGCAGCCTCCGACTCAAAGACATCACACAAGGCCTGGCACATGGCCGGAGGATAAGCTGCTTCCTCCGCTGTGGCGAAGGTGTCATCAGAAGTAAGGCCCCACGTTGCATGTTGTTTACAGCCTGGGCACATCAGAGCCATGCGAGAGATGCCCGAGCTGCTGCACAAGAAAGATGTTTTCTTATCTCGTTCGCTGCCGAAAGCGCAAGCCTGGCAATGCGCGAAGAAACCATGAGCCAAAGGGTACGCAAGACATGGCAACTCCCAGAAGGTGCTGTTAGTGGGGTTTTCGACGCACCAAGGCACAGAGTGCTGATCGCACAATTCAAGAAAAGCGCATAGTTGCTTGTATATGGCATTGGCAGCTTTGAGCTTGACAGAATCTCTGGTGGAGGCCCACGGGACACCCCACGGATGTGAAGTGGTGCGGAGCACTGGGGGGCCCGGGCGAAAGTGACGAGCAGCACTGCAAGTGCCGCAAGGCGGAGCCGCAAACACCATGGCAACACGACGGGATTTGATGACAAACTTGAGGACCTCCGAGGAATGGCTCTGGGTCAAGTCCAGATTGACCATCTTGCACTTAGGTGTGTGGCGGTTGTGAGCATGATCCACGGGCATGATTGCAAAGCCGCGGCTGGCGGCTGTCTGACTGAGGATGGCGGACCCGGCGCACAGCTCGATCACTAGAGGCCCGTCCGCAGGCAATTCAGCGGAGGGGAAGGCCGGACTCGGTTGAGTCAACGGCGCCGAATCAGTGGATACCTGAGGACACCGCAAATCGTAGCCTTGCAAAGGGTACGGCTTCATGGTGGGGCCCTGCTGGACATCGCGGCCGGGGATCTTAAACCCTAGGGAGGTCAAGAATTCCCTATCATCGGGAGCTAAACCGGAGAGATGACCCACGGTAAACGCAACCAGAAGAGATCTGGAGCCCTGCCACGGCAAGGTGAAGTGTTTGCAATGCTTAGCATCAAAAGCCCAAGCATGAGTAGCGCAATCAAGTTTGAAGCCTGTCCATGATGCATCTTCGTAGAAGGTTTGATCTGGACCCTCAGGATGCACGACGAAGATGTGTCCACCTGAGAAGGAGGACAATGGCACAACAACATTAGGCACGCTGCTATTGAAGGAATCTTGATGCATTGGAGCTTGCAAGTTCCGATGCACAGACACAGACGTGAACTCGCATTGGGGTGCGACGAGTCTGATACACGCGGCAAGATACTGTGCCACTGCTGGCATGCGCCGCGTGTTGCTGCGAACAGCGGTGACTCCTCCTCGGTTGCATGCACCGACAGTTATGGCCTTAGAGTCGCCATCGGATTCCAGCCAGGTCCGAGTATGGTCCTCGGAAGGAAAAGCGTCCAAAATGGCCGCTATGTTGTTTGCACTGAAGTCGGAAGATTGTAAAAAGTGACTTGCCAAAGACTCGCAAAACGCAAATGCATCATCTAATTTAGCCGCCTTACGGGGCGGCTCCGGGGGAAAACAAGTGGAGTCGTTGAGCGACTGTTCAGCTGCTGGTTCCATACCGACAGTTGAGCCATAGCTCTGTGTGACATCTAGCCCACCGTGCGCCACTGGCGATGGTGGGTCATGCGCGCTCGTCTGACTCATTAGTCACGACGAGGGCGCCTTCTTCGCAGGGCAATCCTTGGCTGGGTGCCCTCTATGGCATCCTTTGACTGCGCACAAGTGCAGTCCTCTTTCACACCTTTGGTTGGCCACTGCTCGGGAGCATTTCCCTAGCGAATAGTCGAAGCATAAGGCATGCCCCTTAGGCGTAGCGGCCACGCACCCAAGTGCGAGGAGCTCTGCCGGGACTCTGGCATTTGTTGAGCCCTTGCCGGCGCCCTTGCCCCCGCGCCCGCGACCCTGGCCCTTGCCATTGCCCTTATGGCGCTTGATCGGGGGTTCATCTCCTGAGGAACCATCGCGGCTTGCTCCTGAGCCTACTGCAAGAGGCCTCGGAGTCAGCATTGAAAGAAACTCAGTGCTCTCAAACACTTTGCGGAAAGCGCCGTCACATGGCCGTGATCCTCCTGCCTTCACCTTGATGCCGCCGCGGGTGTGTTCCGCGAGCAACATGGTGAATTGACGATCAGCTTGCTCAATCTGTTTCAAGCTCACTCGCGCATGATTCGGAGGAGGGTCCATAAGCCTGAAAGACATGTACTTTTCAAGCAACTCATCGTGCAAATGGTACGCCAAGATGTTCGCCTGTTCAAAGGCTAGGCCCCTTCGCACTAAGGCGTAGCGAACCATCATATCAGTGGACACATCACAAGGAGTCACGTTGGGCTTGCTGGCAATCTTTAGGCCGCCTGCAGAATCCAAGGTAAGCGAAGCATCCTTCTTGAGCCCTGTAAGAAGCTCATGCTGTCTGCTAACAGAATGCTGCCACTCCACATACTGGAGTCTGTCAGATTCGTAGATCGCCACAGCCCGATCAATCAAGGAGTCGCCTGGCTCCATATTGCCCCTCAAGTCAAGACCTTTAAGTCTGGACTGCTGCTCCCGCAAACGTTCGGCCCTGTCTGCTGGAGCTAGTTTCTTGATCGATGAGTCTTCTGTTGCTTCCACCTGCGATCGGATGTCGGATGCAACAGTTGCGTATGCCTCGGCGAACAGACGCCGAAAGCAACTCATCTCCTTAAGGGAAGGCGCAGCACCGAGAACCTTGGTTACCAGGTCGGTGAGAGGTTTCTCGTCTGTCGCCGACGGGTTGAAATGACAACAGAAGGCGAAAGTTGCCATCGTTGTCAGTCCCTCCGCCTCAAGCTTCGCGAAGCTCTCATCAGAAACTCCAATGTCCTTGGCTCTCGCCTTGAAGACAGCCGCACTCTCTCCAAACGACATGGCTCTTTCTTTCTAGACTGTCAAGCTCAGACTAGGGCCCAGCACGCTTTGCAATCACTTTTGTCATCGGTAGCTCCCTAGCGCATCACACAATTCACGTGACAAGCATCGCTCAAACAGCACTTGTAGTTCTGCACTTCCAAGACACAAGCAGTCACTACGAGATCGCGCTGGTTATTCATCCACGACCAAAGTGACATTTGCATGTTGCCTTTTCTCAGACCCCGCGAATTTCGCCCACGCGTGGCGTTGACTCCTGACACGGCTTTTGAACCTCAGGAGTTTGGAAAGCAGGTGGCGCATGTAGGATACATAAATCTTGGCGCCTCGCTTAAAATCTCAAAACGCACTGAGATCGCTCTACCGCACTTCAAGTGGGTCCCGGCCTCATCTCTCACCTTGTGCAAGAACCTAGTCTGTTTGTGACGAGCCCAAGGCCCGTCGCCGGGCTCGGGGCCCCACTGACCGGCGATCTGCTCCAAGGCCTGCTCCTCGTCACTCACGGGGGCCTCTTCCTCATCATCGGACGCCTCGCTAGAGCTCGATGATATGGCGTCAGCCTCCTCCTCATTCTCAGGTGGAAGCTGTGGATCTGCAAGATTGGCTATCATCCCACTTCGAGTGAGATCCGGCTTGAATCTACCGGCGGCAATCTCGTCGATTACCTGGTCCAGCTCGCGCAATGGAGCCGCTAGTGAATCCCTGGCATAAATGATTAACGACTTGTCCTTACGCGGCACGTGGTAACCCAGAGTGCGACGAGGGCCGGCCGGCACGCCTCTTTTCGCCATCCAGGAGAGCGGTGTACTCTTACAAGAGTGGGTCGCGATCTGGACGTCGCCAGGTGCTGCACTCGCGCCAGGAATCAAGCTTCTCAGCCAGGCGCCTCCACTTGAGACCTTAAGCGGAAGTCTTGTCCACCCGCCTCCGGTTGCGGGGCACGGAAGTGTAGGATAAGAACTATCGAGACCCTCTGCCTCTCGAAGCTCAAGCCATGCTCTGATCCAAGGCCTACCTCCTACACATTTCAACGGAACAGCGATGGGAAGAGAGCGGATCTTCCTTTCAAGCGACACCGATGTCTTGGTCCTCTCGGCTTGCCCTTCAAGGTACCCTGATTCCACGCCATCAATCAAAGCTGAATCAATCGCGAAACCTGAAGAACGTTGCATGTCTGAAAACCGTAGGCGACCATATATCATAAGCAGAAAACACCCAGCTGCGATTCGGTCCATTGGCCGCGCCATGGGGCTGAGCACGAGAGCTTCGAGTCGCTTGACTTGCTCCACGGTTAGAGCAGGCCTGCGCTTAACTGCACACCTCGTCGAGTAATGAGCATTTGCAAGCCCTACGATCCTCCCGCTGCTCAGGGCTTCGTCCAACACGATCAAACCTAGCAGATGTTTGGCGAAGCTGAAAGCGATAAGCAGCGACCTGAACGAAGTCGGGGCCGCATTCGGATTTGCCTTGAAGTAATCGTAGAGCTGGTGCTCTCTCACAGGCAGGCACACTACGAACTGAAGCTTCCAGAAGTGCACGTATCTGAAGATGGGTCCCACGCGTTGGTGCAAGGTAGCTGTGGCCTTGTCTGCAAGACAGTCCTGCACACTTTCCACCAAGCCTCCTGTGGCAAATTTGGGATCGAAAGGCCCCATGGCTTGCTTGGCTACACCCCAGGCGTTAAAATCCAAGGAAACAAGCGTAACCCACTTCTTCAAGGCACACTTCCTATTAGCATCCAGGGCCTTAGACCTTAGGTGAGCATCTCGGGCTGACAATGGCTTCAGTCCCGCTGCAAGGAATGCTGACTGCGAGGCTCCAAGATCTGGGCCGGAGCTGGATGAAGCGGCCATCGGCCCTGGACCCGGCGCTGGGGGCAAGAGCCCTGTCGGCCTAGGCAAGAGGCAGCTTCTCCTGAAGAGCGAATGCATTTGTTCTGGAGGGCTCGGGAAGATGCCTACCGATCTCTTATAAGCATTCCAAGTATGAGCTGCATGAAAGGCCACTGCCCTACTGTCGAACGGGGCAGATTCATCACCTTCGCCCATCTTTCAGCTCTGCTGCCATCTGCCGCTGTCGGCGACAGCGGCGTGCACGGTGGGCTAAGCCCAACGTCGAGAGAGGGGCCCTGGTTCAATGCAGGGTCCTGAACCTCAAAAGGCCCCAACAAAATTTTTGTTTTCCTCATTCACACTGATTGAGGAAACTGGCAACGGCATGAGATCGCGCTCGACAGAGTTCGTATAAAAGTCTTGATCAAATATAACCAACTCCATTCGTATAAAGAATTGTTGACCACATATCTTGGTCTGAGGCAAATATATACAAGCGATAAGAAATCGGGATCAAAATTTCTGGCTCGATTTCGAGACAGCTACAATGGTCACAGATTCGATCATGAGCAAGGAGACTATCACTGGCACTGTTGCAAAGGTTCGTCACTTGCTCCGAAAAATGAAATCATGAAACTTCGATCGAAAGTTGTAAAAGTTTGGTTGCAACGCACTACTCAGAGTAGTGCAAGGATTGTCACGGCCCAAAATTTTGTTGCCTTTATCGTTCAAAGATCGTGCTTTGCGTTTTGATGTCTATCATGTTTGAACCTTCAGGGATGAATGCTTGCACTTGCACATGTCACATGCAAGAAGTTCAAAGCTCGACGCTATTTTCACACGGTGGGGTAGCAAGTACCGCACACGGCAGATATCTTCGAACTGTCAGTCCTGTGAGACACAAGACTCTTTTCGTCCCCTCCGCAAGGAGTACTAGCCACTCTCAAGCCGTGCACGGCTCACAATCTGAACCTTAGTAAACAGCCTGCCAGCCGAAGACGAGCAAGGCCGAAGCACTGCGAAGCAGAGAGCCAAGACCCGAACCGGGTCTTATGCACAAAGCATACCTGAGTGTCCTCAGATTGAGGTCCAAAGCTTCCTGAGGTAGCACAACACTGATGCAATCTCTGCACTTCCGCGAATCAATTAGGGTGGAGAGGGTGGGTATTTCAAATAAAACTCTCGCCCGATTCAGGGCTTCCTGCCCCTTCGAGAGGTCAAGCTGCAACGGGCGGATATATTTTTTTAACTGGTTCACAGCATGTATAAATGATGGTTCATAAAAAGGTAGTGTAAAAGCAAAGCCCTAAATCAACAAATCAAAATTTGGACTCAGTTCTCTGAGCCATTTTGTCATGTTGCTTTTCTTCGAACGATAAAGCCATATCTTCTGCAAGTGTTCAAAGAATGTAACTTATCGTTCAAAGATCGTGCTTTGCGTTTTGATGTCTATCATGTTTGAACCTTCAGGGATGAATGCTTGCACTTGCACATGTCACATGCAAGAAGTTCAAAGCTCGACGCTATTTTCACACGGTGGGGTAGCAAGTACCGCACACGGCAGATATCTTCGAACTGTCAGTCCTGTGAGACACAAGACTCTTTTCGTCCCCATTTCCTGGAGTCGCAGTGTTATGCAGGCAGATTGGAAACTCTCTTCACAATCGATAACACCACTTTGGTCGCTTCGATGGACTCATCTTTGAATCCTAACTTCCTGACTCTATCAAGTTTCATCCTTGAGGGTTCGTCAGCCAGATTGGCTGGTGATGCCACTCTCGCGTACCACGGCAAGATGCCGTGGACATACTCAAGAAAATTGACCTCATCGATAAGGATCCCAGCGACCCCTTTCTTTGAAGAGCCGGCGATGTATGCGTGTCTCGCCGCATCATTATCGATATAACAAGTCACTCCCGTTCCAGCCACAGCACCCGGCTGTTCATATGATTCTGCGAAAGCAGCTGTCTTCTCGACTAAGAGCTTGAGACCGATCAAGACTCCGAACATTTCGAGCTCATATATGATTGTATGCTCATCTTGTAACGACATCGACTTTGCTTGCTGCTCTGAGATCGGCACGCTGAAGAAAGAAAGTGCAGAACCTGCCCCCGTAAGAAGGACTCCTCCAAGGCCTCCGGTTCCTGATTCCGTCTCAAACGCTGCATCTGTAAGGATCATAAAAGTCCTGCACGAAACTTGTCCCACTAACCTCGGCTGGGCCATGTCAAGGAACTTACCAAACTCTTCAAGTCGTTCCTTGGCCATTGACGAAAGCTTCGACCTACCAGTGTAGGCATGCTTTGTCACCTCTGCCAGGCACCTTCTCCCCAGTCTACCGAAAAACTGGGCTTGAGCAAACTGTAGCCTACCCCGCAGTTGTAAGGCTTCCTTCTGAGTCATGGCTCCCTTGTCCAGGAAACCCTTGATCGCGGCACTAAGTTCTTTACGTCGTTTCTCAGTATTCCTGACTTTCAGAACTCCTGACCCAGTCTGATCAAGCTCGAAAAGAACGCCAAGGGCCTCGAAGCTAGTATTCCACTCCGTTGTCTTATCAGCTGACAGCTTCCAACCTAACAGCTTCATCACTTCATCGAAAGCGTGCGAACACGAGCTCCTATCTCCTCCAAGAGCGAGCAGAACAAAGTCGTCGAAGTAGTTCGTGGTCGGGATCCTGGCCCCTTTGACCAGGATAGTCCAAAGAGCTCTCGCTACTCTGAGGAAGAAATACACGGCCTTGGTGGAGCCGAAGGGCACAGCTAGTTGTTGGAACAACTTGGGCTTCTCCTCTGCCGGGTCGTAGACCGAGAGGTAAGAGAAATCTAAGCTTGTATCGGATACCGCCAACTGTCTGTAAGCCCCCTTCAGATCCGCCGTTTTCCCGTACAATGCGTTCATGTTCTTCTTTCGAGCAGCCCTCGAGAGTGTATTTATCAACATAGCAATCTCGTCGATAGAGTGCGTGATGGGCTTTTCAGAGACTGTGACCGTATCGTTAATCAAACTCGAGGAGTAGTTGTCAATAGGTCGCAGCTTCTCCCCTTGCATTAGCGGAAAACGGGAGCTGACCAAACATCGTTTCGGCAATGACTCGAAATCATAAGGTCCCGAGAGGTACCCACTCTGCACCTCTTCCATCGTCTTGTCCCACAACAGCTTGTCGATTTC